GGAGTCAGTTTCAGAACTTCATGTCGAAATTTGGTTTTTAACTTCATGCATAAATGTCCAAGCGAATCATGGCTAAGAGCATGAGCACGAAACCGTGATACTGGGCAACAGTATCCATTTCACACCACAAGCAGGCAGTGCGAAAAAGGTTTTTATTTAGACCCGACCATACCGCCAGATCACTTCCAGAAGGAGATTACTTGTCATAGCAGACGATCTGAATGAGCATGTCGGCAGTGAAAGGAGGGTACTGGATAGGTTACATGGAGGTGGAGGAGTAAGTGTCAGAAACAAAGAAGGAGAAAGGGTCTTCGACCCGGTCGAAGCTCACGACTTGGCAGCACCTTCCTCGCGAAAGCTATCTTAGAAGGTAACCTACTGCAGCGGAGCGTAAGAAACGAAAATATACCATGAGCTCGTAAGGCGATCGCCCATCAGACTGTAAAAGATATTAAGGCTACTTGGCAGGAATAGACTCCGTTGCACAGGCATCTTCTAGCACACTTCTAACTTATCAGTACTCACACGTTCAACGTGTTGAGACGGGCAGCCTACATCGGCATTGAGCTGTTTAGCTGTGAGGTTTACTTGATATAATTCGTATTGATTTCGTTTTGACTTGATGGATTCTAGCACGGATGCGGGTTTGAATCCTTCCGAGACCCAAGTTTCGTCTATAATTCGCCAACCTTGTGAGACTTTCGCATCTCGTACCGCGGTGATATAACAGCAGTTCACAAAATATCAAGTTAAAACACTGTGAATGTAATACTGCTGTGTGGGAAACTCCAGAAGAGACCAGAGGTTGATTCTGAAGAAGCTGGAAGCGTAATTCTGGACCGACAAAGTTCAGCGTTCATATAAGCGCTAAAAAAAAGACTCGGGCCCTAGAAAACCTAGCTTCCTACAGAAGTTGCAAGAAATTTGCAAAATTTGCCTAAGCGAGGCGAAAAATACGGAGAAGGGCGCTTTGTACGAATAGCTCGGTGACGGACAAGCAGAAATGTTCGTCTCTCTGCCGGCCAAAGCCGGGATCGGGCTACTCGACTCTGGAGTAATCAGGGCGTGAAGGACAGCGACAGTGCAATCCTGAGGAAGTCTTGTGAGGAAGCGGATGGAAAGAATACCTGATAGACTCTAAAATAAGAATTCTACCACAAATACAGCTTTCAGGTAGAGCCAGCGACTGCCTTGATCGCACTCTGGACAGAGGATGAGGTGCGAGGTGTGACCCTGAAGGAAGAAATCTGGTTGCCTGGAGGAGCAGTAACATCGTTTCAAGATTCAAGTAGAAGATGGTTGCGATAGAATGTGTCAGCTACCAGCTACTCCTAACTCCTCACTTCCCCAGTGAAACTGTGCAGTGGTTATGGGCTCATAATTAAGAAATAAACTCGTCTAGATCTTAGGGCAGCGGTCGGGCCTTATGCCAGAAGGGTTCCTTCCTATCTTCATAGTCAAACAGGTGATGCAGAAGTATCGAGAAAAACGTGGATTCTGCTAGACCAGACCTAGACCTTCTCGATCTGGAGAAGGCTTTTGATCATATCCTGGGACTAGTCTGAAGAAAGTCTGAGAGCGAAACGCTCCAGAAAACCTGATCCAGCATTCAAAACCTTCACGGCACAGGAGATTCAATACCCATCGAACAAATACCCAGGTTTCATTAATGGCAGAGATTTCTTCGGGATGTTACATCCCTGAATCCACTTTTATGACTTTTTTGAATTCATTGATTACCTGCTCTGGATCATCCTACGAGAAGCACCATTGATCGCATTTATTGAATCATCGGATCTTCATGCATCATCCTATTGAAATCTTACTGACTGAGCTTTTGATCGCTGGGTCACGTGTTAAACTGAAATACTCGATTTTCACCTAATGACGGAGGGTGTGGAAACAGGCATCGTATCAGGCAGGCAGCGTCCGAGGATCGAATCTCGGATCGGTACTTATCCAATCCAATCAAGCCTTCCATCACTCCTGGATCGACTGAATGATGCCTATTATAGGATAAGGTACCAGGTACCTATTATAGGATAAAAGATTGACCTGTACGTTGGCCCCATGTGACCACCCCAAATCTATTCATAGGTCACATATGCTTTCGAACTGCCACTACGGTTTCGAATGGATTGCGGGCCTCACGCTAGAAAGGAGATTTGTTAACGCTAGAAGACTTTTCATTTCTCCCAGATCCATATCTAATCATGAGCAATAACACAGCGAGCAAAATTTGACGCTCGCGCATACTCGAAAATCTTCAGGCATTCTTCATCGTATGAGTATGAAACGAGCCCACAGCTTCACGTGCGCCACCTCTTTTGAAAATATAGTGGCCGGGGGTATAGAACGAATAGGACGTTCCTCAACTTGAACTTCAGGCACAAACGAAGACTTAAAGTTCTTTGTGCCCTCCCCCATTCCTTGATCCCCGGAGGCTGGAAGAACCACAAGTGCAACAGAGCAGTAAAAGTGATAAAGAAAAATTGAAAGGCGTCTCGAGTCGAGCTTGTCAATCACTGCCAAAAGATGTAACGGTCAGGCACAAACGAAGACTTAAAGTTATTTGTGCCCTCCCCCATTCCTTGATCCCCGGAGGCTGGAAGAACCACAAGTGCAACAGAACAGTAAAAGTGATAAAGAAAAATTGAAAGGCGTCTCGAGTCGAGCTTGTCATTTACCGATCAATCACTGCCAAAAGATGTAACGTCACATTTCTAAACAGCTCGGAATCAGTCTACTATTTCCCTCCTTACCACTTGATCAACTGCTCCATCTGGACGCATACAAATATCGTACCACTTGGTCTTTGACGTTCCTAGAGCTGTAATCGTTTTCCTTCATCATTTATGGAAGGACGGATATGATTTTTGCTCACTAAGACTTACAATCAGTGAATTCCTCATTTAATAGTGTTGCTTATTAGAGAAGTCGTCTAGATTGATCTTATAATTCATTCTTGGGGTTTTTTATCGTGAACTACTGAATTGTTCCAGAACGAAGTGCCTCCACTCGAACGACTTTATATTCCTGCAATAAGCGAACCGCAAAGGCCTTTAGAAGTACGGCAGTTCCACAGACAAGTATGTTTTTCTACTCATAGAACCACAACTGAGGTGCATAAGAGTAAAGATAGTGATAACGGGGCTGATTCGTCCCCTGACTGTTTGTCTGTGTGTGTTGTCCTGTCCTGTTCTGTCCTGTCCTAGACCCTCCACACACATTTATGACCAGAGAGATAATGTGAACAGGAATGTTCCGTTCCCCAGAACGCTCTTCAGGCAAAAGGCGATCGAACGCTTTCTTCAGAGTGTTCCAAAGAGGGCTAGGTTGCAGTGTCTCTTTCCGACGATTTTCCCGATACTTCTTCATCACGTGTCTAGTTATGAAAATGCCATCCGTTGTAGTCCTTTCACACGTGGATCCGAACTGGTCGTGAAGTCGGCATTTACAACACATTTGTATACTGAGGATATGTTGTGGAACATGACTTCTCACGACAGAGGAAAAAACTAGGTTATCATTGGTATCTAGTGCTACTGTTTTTTATGCATTACTAGAATCAGCAGCAGTGTCATAACTCGATAAGATTCGTTTCTAAATTATTCAGCCTGTCAGAAATTACATATTCAAGGAAGAAATGCTCTCACATGAATGAATTGAATGATCAATGAATGCAAGTATGGAATTTCAGCAACCGAGTTCATTTAGACGAAGTCTTTCGATGATCGAAGTGGTGGCAGGAAAGTGCAACGAATGTCAATGGATCGTAGAGCCTTGTCGGATATGCGGCATCAAACCACCGAGCTGCTACAGCCTGAGGTGTTCTTTCTTCCCCATCTTTCGGATTGTTGTATTTTGGAAGAATCGGGGTTTAACTTGTAGTCCGGTTTTACGAAGGAACGCAAGTGATAGAACTTTCAGTGCTAGCGGCAGCGTGTGATCCTATCCTATTATCAAAGACATATTTAATTTCAAGAGGGGCCTTGAATCTAAACGCGCAAGCGTACAGTGCCCCCCAAGAAGAACCTCAAACTCATGCTGAAAAAGCACTTCTGTGTTTTTTTCTGCATTTTTCTGTTGAATCTGTTAAATGGCGGAAAATTGAAAGTCAATAACCCACCATTTAGATGACAGGCCTGTCCGTAGGTCGGCCCCACGCAAAGGGCCGTTATCAAAAGTCGAGAGTCCGCATTCAGCTAAGCTTCCTGGGGTGTGACACGCCGTGGAGGGGCAAACAACACCATCTAAAAATTTTGGAGTGCTCCACGAGATTGGGTGCCATTCACAAGAGAAAGTCGCGAGAACATTGGATCCTGCATTGCGGTGGGAGAAATCCTGAAGAATAAGAATAGGAGTAAGAAGAATAAGAAGACCAAGAAGGATAAGAAGAGTAATATGATCAAAGGGAACGAAAAGATTTAAAAGAGTAAGCAGAATAATAATACCAGGAAGAGTAAGAAGAATAAGAAGAATAGAAGAACATTTTTAGGTCTATTGGAGTGAAGTTTTCTCGGTGTATCAGCTCGAGTAATTAGTAAAATGAGTACCTTTCATCAGAACTCAGCTGTTTTCGGCGCGAAGAATCAATGGAGGTCCCTGAGGGTCTCCAGGTGCTTGCGGTCATCGTTGTTCGTTTTTTACCGGGAAGTGAGTAATTGAGCGAAACAAGTGGTAATCGGTCGGTGCGAGATCAGAGCAGTATAGTGGGTGATGGGAAACTATGCAAGTTCCTGAGTTGTCCTCTAGGTTCACCTGGGCGTTACTCTCGGAGCTGGAAAGAAACTCTCCAGCTCCGAGAGTTCTGCAGAACCCTACGCAACTGAAAACAGTAGGTTTGCTCGTCGACGGTGGTTCTTTCATTATCCAGGAGATAAGTGTGATGGAAGCCTCGTACACTCCACCAAACACAGAGTATGACGTCCTTCAGGTGATCCACTTACTGAAACGTGCATTTGGCTGTCGGTCTGCAATAACCCCTGACGCCTCTGTGTATGGTTCACGTAGACTACCAATTTCTCTTCTCCCGTAACGATCTTCTCGAGCCTGTCGAAACGACGACTTCTGGACAGCAAACTTTGACAGATATTCAAGCGTGTCTGCAGAGTATTTCTTCTCAATGAAATATGGGATCCATCACCCTAGCTTGCACGATTTCCGCCCAGCCTGGAGAGCAGCGCTGATGGCCATCTGGTAGCACTGCATGTCTGCAGCAAGTTGACGGATAGTAGCTTACGATTGTTCTGTGAAGCTCTTCAATGGGCGCTTCCAGACATGCGTTGGAAGCACTGCGCTGCGAGACACATTGACAGCCATGGACATCGTCTGTTGAAAGTGTCGAAGATGAATGAGAGTAGACGGCATTACCGCTTCACAAAGACGTGTAGAGGCCTCCATTTCGTGCGGCATAAAATTATGCAAAGGTCTACCATTTTGCCAGAAACCACTGAAATAGTTTCCAAAAAATTGGGTGTTGTTTTGAAGAAAGCAGAAAATAGTGACACTCAACCTAATAGAAGACATTAATGAGTTAAGCTAATCGAGCTCTACAAGATGGTCCATGAAAAAAACTTCGTTCTGGAGTAGCTTGTTACAAAGCTCAACTTCTATTTTGGAAGTATATTACATCTGATAAGAAAGGAAGTTCTAGTTGTAACAAGCTACTGATCAGTAAAAAAAAAGGAAGAAAGTAAGTTTGAGAAGATAAAGATAGAATCGATATACAATTTTAAACTTTAGTTAGGGTTCATTTTTATTGCTTGAAATTGGGCTGAGTTTTGTGAGAGCGGTGCACTTCTATATACATTCGAGCGAATAATTTTCAGACGTCTGTCGCAGCCGCTTGTCAATCGTTATGGGCTGCCAAGGGCCACCTTGAGGAGTTGCATGCTTTAGGTGAGTCAAGATAAGGATTAGGCTTGATATAAGCACTCGGTTGGATAACTCTCTGAAGAACTAAGTGGAATGTGTAGCAACGCTCACCAGTCACTTGGAATATGATACACATAAATTTTTGAGCGAGCTCGTTGTTTTTACTTCCATTTTGTACCAAGAACTCTTATCCAAATAGAACCATGACCCCGTGATAGAGCGCAGTAAGTGGAATCAAACGCGAAGTTCAGGACCAGTTAGATGGTTGGCTTTTTTTCAGAGTTCCGAAGGCCACGCTGCTTTCTGCCACCCCACCAGGTCTTCCTTCATACGTTGTCCATATTCATGGAACGCCCGAGATAAATGTAAGGCGAGGTGGTAGGTGTAACATGACCTTCGTCAACCCGAACATTCTTCATGTACCGTGTCTTTGTTTTGTTGATCCGCAGCCCTACCTTCTTTCATGTTTTATGAGTTCAGCTAGCATAGTCTCAGCTTCTGCAGCCCTACTTGAAAAGAGAATGTCGTTCGTAAATCTGAGTTTCGCAGGAACCGTCCATGCACACGAATGCCCTTTTCTCCCAGTTTAGCGACTTCAGCACGTACTGCAGCATAGCTAAGAACAGCTTCGGCGAAATAGTGTCGCCGTGTCTCACACCCTTATGGGAATGGTGAGAGATAGTTATAACAGCTTCACCGTCGTGCTGCGGCGACTACTGCACTCAGCTAGTGTTCTTGCATAAGGACGGTCCTCCCCTTGATCGACCAGTGCTGAGAGGACATCCGTTTCCACACTGTCAAAAGCTTTTCCATTGTCAACAGAATAAGGACAGGAGGCATGCGGAATTTTCGACACACTTCGATGACCCTTGCGACCGCTTGGATGAGGTCTGAGCAGCTGAATCCCTTCCAGCCTGCTCTGCAGGTTGAGCATCGTCCAATGTTTGTGAAAAGCTTGTAAAGCACACTCAACAAGCTTATTGGGCTGTAGTTGCAAAGATCATCTCGGCCATCCATCTTGTAAATAATGACCATCCGCGAATTCCTCCAATGGTTGGATATCTTCTCCTTCTGGAGGTAGGACGTTATGTGCGTTACGAGAAGCGCATGAAGATCGTGCCACCCGCATGGAGTAGGTCGGCTGAGATGTCAGAGCGTGGAGTGCTGCCCTTTTTCCATGTTCGCAATCGCAACCCCCCATACCCGAAAGAAGATCCGAGCAGCTGTTCCTCCAGTAATGATTTCTGAACTTCGCATGTGTGCTGCAGGCTGATCAGTACAGTTAGTCCAAAACCTCTGTGTACCATCCTTCATCCCAATCTTGTAAGGGTATTGTAAGAGTCCGTCCTCCTCCTTCGACCACGAAAGTGGAATACTGTGATCCTGAAGATTCCGATGGCATTTTTTCAGATTAGTTCTGTTTAAAGCTGCCTCCAGTAATCTCTTTTTCCTGTGCAGTTAAAAATCTCGCCGCACTGCTAGTCTGCAGCTGGTATCTGTCTGCACCCTTACAAGATGTGTGACGTTTTGATCGAGTCTCAGGTTTCTTCTTGTCCTAAGGAGATCCTTCGTCGCATCTGAAGTGCGAGCGGAGGTATTCACGCGAGAAAGCTTGACATGTCCCGCACAACTGAGGAAACTCTGAAGAAACTCAGCGCGTCGTAGTCTTCGGTTGGGTCATCCATGACCTTCCCGTCATATCGGGACAAATCGTCGTCCGGAACATCTCCGTCGTATACATATGCTTCGAGTTCCTTGCACGATGTTGAGAAATATTCTCCAGCTTGTGCTTAAATTGATTTTACCAGGGAAGGATCTCAAGTCGAAGTGGCCATTTGAAATGAGACCTACACTGCTGGACGTGTTTTTGGATGCTGAGTTCAAATCCGCTCTCCAAATTTGCCGAGCGTTTCTGTGAGTGGAGTTATGAGTGGTTTCAGGGAGCTTAACATAAGAAAACTTAAATTACATGGATGCGCTTCTCATCTCATCGGCCGCTTGGTGTGGTGGTAAGCGTGGCGCTTCATGTGCGGGAGACTAGGGTTCGGGTTTTGAGTAGGACGAGACTTTTGCATTATAGACTTTTTCATTTAAGGACTAGAAACTACTGTCATGGTGATTTTATCACGTTCTATGAAGTTTTGATGCTTTGCTGATGCCTTCTCCTACCTACCTACCTGTTACGGAGTAGGAGATTCTTCCGTGCGCAAAATTTGGAGCTCCGGGCGAGAAGAAGGTATATGACGAGCAATGATTATGCTAAAGTGGGTGTTGGTGCTAGATTGGGTGCGATGGTGCGTAGCAGCTCCGGACCCACCAACACCGGCACTGTTGACAAAGAACTCGTGGATAGAACAGAAAGCTATTCAGTGCGTCCTACCACCAAAAAAGCAGGCAAAGGGAATGGCACTATTCTCGAGGCTTCCACGAGGCTAATACAGCCAACAGAATCATCTTAAGATCATCCTTTTAGAAACAAGGCTAAACGCACCACCTCATATGTAAAAGCTCATGATCTCAACTTTTGCGTGTACACACGAAACCCCATTTCCGCCTACTATCGCTTGTCTACTTGTAGTTCTGTGCTGTTAGATCTAGGAAATTCCTCTTTTGATCATGGTATGGCGCCGGCTACTTGGATACTCACGCGGGTGATTTTGGGACGCCTACACAATTCTGTTTCCCTGCTGATTTGGGGTTAGCATCTGTGAAGCAATGGGCTGTGGCGAGTTCTTTTTCATCCCTTGCTTCCATTGTGAGAAGTTCTTTGTTACAAGCACTTCGTGTAGAGTATCACATTTGGTAAATCAAGTGGCAAAAATCATCTTAACGTGAATATAGAGTGAAGGGGCATGCGAGTGAAACTGAAGTATTACTTTATGTGAATCAATATCAGCAAAAGCATGAAAAGGTCATAAAACGTGATAAAATCACAATGACAGTAGTTTTTAGTCCTTAAGGGGAAAATTCCATATAACGCAAAAACAAAAGATCCTCCACAAAACCCGAACCCTAGTCTCCCGCACATGAAGCGTCACGCTTACCACCACACCGCGCCGCCGTTGAGAAGGGGGGCGCACTCATGTAATATAAGTTTTCTTATGTTAAGCTCCCTGAAATCATCCTCATAACTCCGTTCACAGAAACGCTCGGCAAATTTGGAAGGCGTATTTGAACTCAGCATCCGAAAACACGTCTAGCAGTGTACGTCTCATTTCAAATGACCACTTCGACTTGGGACCCTTCCCTGGTTAGCACTAGGGAGTCGATGATCAGAACCTCTGCAGAAAGATGGTACTACAACAACATCTAGTAAGCAGCACTTCTTGTTCGTTTGTATGTGGTCCAGTTCAATATGAGTTGTACCGTATTGAGACTCCCATGTCTAGTGGAGATGTTCCTCTTTCTGGAAAAAGAGTTGCCATGGAAGAGTCGAAGCGCTGATAGGAGTCCTGCTAAAATTTTTCCGTTCCCGCTCCAACATTCGAATCTCCTCCCTTGTGCATCGGTGAGCCTAGCCGCAGCCTAGCGTCGAGATCTCCAACAACGAACTTGTAGAAGGACTTTCCGTCCTAGATGATCTCCTCAAGTTGGTCGTATCGAGCTTTACTTCGTCAGCTGTAGAGTGTGAAGAATAGCAGTTGATGATTGATCTGGGAGTGCTGTTGCGGTCCGAAATCCAAGGCCTACTGCGCAACGCGAGATTTTTCAGCCTCTATCCGGTTGCCCTACCGTCTGACGCCCGAATACGACTGGGCTCAGTTTGAGGAGTACTGAGGCTCTTCTATTGCTGTTTTAGCAAGCTTGCTCCCTGGAGTCTCAGCTTAGGAGGGCCAGTGTTTAGTGTTCAATCGTAGCGATAGCAACTGTGGGTAAAAGGGAGTTGAGGTGGCCCACTCTCAGCCGTTCAGACATGGAGAAGGGCCATTAAACAATTATCTATGAAAAAGTATTTATATAAACATTAATGAAGACAAATTGTGAAGACTCCAACGCAAAACGGAGTCGAGTTGTAGGCATTGTAGACGAGGGATTTCGGACTGTACAAGCCGACATCTGACGTTAGTGAAGAAAGCATGTTGCAGGACGACATGACACCTCCCCTTTGGTAGGCGCATGTTTTCCCGAGCGAGTTCTGGTCCTTAATCCAGAACGCGATGATTGAGACCGTAACATACCGGGGCTAGCTGTGGCTACCACATTTACTACATACAACATTAAAGGATCGTAATTCAGGGATAACTGATCCATCGTCAGCGTCGACATCATTCGAATCCAACACGGACAATAGTCCAGCTAATGGTAGCGGTGAGACGAAAGCACGGGAAGAACCAGCTCAAAAGAAACGTCTTCAGTACAAGTGAGACAACTACCTTTAAGTAATTCTTTTCCTTATCCAGTGGGACGGTCAATTCTTCACAGTTCCTTACATTCCCTATCATTTTAGATTTTTTAATTTCGTGAGTGTTTTCCATAGTGGTGTTGGCGTATACAATTCAGCGACTTCTTTCATACGGAAACCTGCGTCTTCGAAACTTCATCGTTAAAGCCTTCCTACAACGCCGCAGCCACACTTCGATTCAATGCGATTTCACGAGCTTTCAAGGAGTGTAGTAGCATAAAGCAACCAATAGTAGTAAACGCATGATTGGGGTTTGAGGGGGGGGGGGGTGGTATGGGTGCATTCGCCCAATTCCGGACATTCGCCCTATTCCGGATCGACGGGCAAACTGCGCGGCGAAATTCGATTGGTTGATTTGAACGATTCTAGTGCCTACCATCAGACACACGTTTAAGTAGATAGGATAATTAGGGCCAGCTGATGCTACTTGTCTACTTTACCCCACTTAAATGTGTGCGAATGATATGCGCCAGAGTCGCTTGAATCACCACGAATATTGGCGCGCAATTTACCGCGTCTATCCAGAACTGGGCGTATGTTCCGTCCCCGGGGTTTGGACCCCAGATTGTGTGCTTCTTACACTGCAAATTGCAAGCGAAACGTATTTAGTTTGAAGTTTCTCCAATGAAAGACGTCCTGAAGAGGTTTCTAATTACAGGCGTCTCATGTGTTTTGTTGTTGTGTGAATTGAAATATCTCTCCGAAATCCATGTTTTTAAAACCAACAATGAGCTCGGCAGCAACAAGGAAGGGATTAAGTTATCAATACTATAGGCTATCGTGGAGAAAAAACCGTCCTATTAAAACTACGATCGACGCACCAACTTCTGTCAAGGAATCACACCGTAGTGGACTCCAGGAAACGTATGTTGTGCATGTTCATCCATGCCCTTATTTCCTTTCCGTTGCATCTATAGAAAGCCGTAGCTGAATATGATTTGCAAAACAGTATTAACACCCCCGATATTTTTTCGATAACCGCCGGTGAAAACTATCTTACATCAGCCGTTATGCCTTAAAAACCCTTCTTTTTATTCAAAGCTCAGGTTGCACCTATCAGGTTGATGACCATCATACTACATATAAAGCGCTCACGTACACCTGTCTGTCTGTTTATTTGTTTGGACAGAAGTTTTGAGTTACCTTAAGAAGCAACTGCAGAAGTCGAGTCAAGGTTGGGATGGGTCTTGATTAGGACAAGATCAACAGAGCACTTGTGACCCCAGCGAGGCTCCGCCTACAGTGGGCGGTATCAGGGGCAAAGCTTCCTTATCATCATTCGTAGTAGCCCAGGCGCTGGGGAAAAAGAACAAAGATGAGGGGTTGGTCAACGCGAAGCAAAGAGGACTCAACAACAGAGCCGGAGCGTCCTCGCGGTGGGCGGTTCATCAGTTCATAACGCGATTCAACGAAGGTCAGAGAGTTCTAGTTCGCGAGGAAAAAGTGGTTAGAGGTTGCAGGGTAGTGTGGTCAAACCCTTGAAATGGGTGGA